TGTCTTTTTGAGACAGGGTCTCCCTGTAGCCCCAGCTGTCCTGGAACTCACTATGTAGAGCAGACTGGCCTTGAACTCACAAAGATCTGCCTGCCTCTGCCTCCTAAGTACTGGGATTAAAGGCATGCACCACCATGCCTGGCAACATTTCAATTTTTAAGATTTATTTATTTTTATTTATATATGTATATTTGCCCATGTGGGGGTATGTGCATGTGTGTGGAGTTGCACAGGGGAGCCAGAGGAGTCAGATCCCATGGACTTGTAGTCACAGTGGTCTGTGAGCCCCTCCATGTGGATGCTGGGAACTGAACATGTGTCCTCTGCAAGACTACTACACACTCTTAACCACTGAGCCGTCTCTCCAGCCCAATTTTTTTTTGAATTTTTATATGTATTTATTTATTTTGTACATGTGTGTGTTCATGTGTACCATGGCACATGTGTGGAGGTCAGAGGACACCTTGTAAGAGTCAGGTCTCTCCTTCCACCATATAGGTTCCTTGGATGAACTCAGGTCGTCAGGCTTGGCAGCTTTTAAGCACGAGGCCACCTCCTGAGTCCGAGAAAACAAACATTTGAAAATGTTATAAAATGTGAATGGTCCCTTCCTTCAAGTTCTCCGAAGGGTTCACTTTGACTCCAGAGGGGCTCTGAAGCCTGTCTGCACGCCTCCATCCCCCTTCCCATTCACTCGCTCTCCTCTCCTGAATGGCATGGTTGTGCTTTGCCCCTAGACCGTCAGAATTCCACTTCCAATCTCCAAAGTGTTTTTCCTCCTTACCTTAATTATATTTAATCTCTCTATTTTAAGACAAGATCTTATATAGTTAAGGCTGGCCTTGAACTCCATATGTAAATGAGGATGATCTTGAACTTCTGATCCTCCTGCCTCCACCTCTCCAGTGCTGGGATGACAGGCATGTGCCACCACGTGCAGCTTATTCAACAATGGGGAGTGAACTCAGGGCTTTGTACATGCTGGGCAAGCGCTCTATCAACTGAGAGACACTCTAGACCCTGATCTGACTTTAAACACCAGATTTTTCCAGAGACTTCTGAATATAGAGATGCATCAATTAGATTCTCTGGTACTCCACAGCCCCACACACACAGCCATGCCAGAGCCCCTGGCAAGCATTACACTAGAGGCTCTGCGACTGAATAAACAGATCTTTCTTCTTAGCAAATTTCCCCGTACCTAGAACCGTTCCTGGCACTCAATAGATGCTCACATAAATTTGGGGAAAAGTAAAACTAATATCACTCAGTTGTTAGATTCAGAGGGTTCTTAGAAAGAGTAACAACTCTTGTCTACAGTGAGGCCCAGAGAAACACAGCCGGGGCCTTGCCTAATGGCTGTGTGATCTCAGACAGCACTTCCCCTCTGGGTCTCACTCCAGCCAGCTATGTACTGACTGAAGTCTGTTGTGCTCCAGCTTTCCCTGGCCTTGCCTCCTCCTTCTCCTGAGTCCTGGGTAAATGGAAGAGCACTGGCCTGGTTGGGGGGGGGGGGTGGTGCACTGGCCTCGTGGGGAGGTGGGATGATACAGGAGAAACAGAGCCCCCCACACACACACCGTCATCCCTCCCAACTGCTGCCAATTGGGTCGGAGGGATGAGACACGAAGGGAGGCCCTTTCTGAAGATTCTTTCCTGCTGGGAGCTCAACAAGAAGGCAAGCCAAGCGCACCTGGAGCGTCAGCTCCTACACAAGACAGAGCTTAAATTGATCTCACAGGATTGGCCTAGGCGAGGAGGTCCAGAGTCACAGCACAAAGGACTTCCTGTACCTTTCATGAGCTGTCTGAGTCTATGAATCCCCACCTGAAGTCCTCCACCCATAAGCCCTGTGCTGGGACACGCCCCTCCGCCTTTCCAAGCCCATTCCCTTCCCCAGGCTGTGGGAATCAGCATTTGCCTGCAGGGCTTTTGTGAGGATTAAAGGTTTGTGACAGTGTTGAGACCAGCGCCTGGTGCCTAACAGACCATTTTAAGCAATGTCACTTCACTTTCTTCCTCTAGCAACATGAACAGTCTTGACGTGTCACGACAGGAACATCAAAACCAAGGCTGGGGCTGGGATGGAAGGCTTTTTCTGTCCTTGCATCGGTAGTCTGTTCACTTTCAGGTGACTTTCAAGAAGCCCGTGTACACACACACACACACACACACACACACAGATACACACACACACAGACACACAGAGACACACACACAGACACACACACAGAGACACACACACACAGATACACACACAGACACACACACACACACACAGAGGAGGATCTGAGGGAGGAGAGGCTGTTTCTAAGACCTTGGTCAACAGGGGCCAGGTTCAGAGCTATGACAACCATCCACAAGAAACACAAAACCTAACACCCAGGGCCAGGGAGAAGGCTCTTTAGACATGTCACCAAGCCTGACAACCTGAGTTCAATTCCCAGGGCAGACATGGTGGAGGGAGAGAACGGATTCCTGCAGGTTATTCTCTGTCCTCCAAAAGTGCACTATGACACACACGCACGCACGCACACACACACACACACACACACACACACACACACACACACTGAACAAATAAATGAAATTTTAAAATTTTTAAAAAACAACATACAGGCCTGACATCAACTTTTCCCTCCACCACTCAACTCCTAAGACCAGAGATTATAAGACCTTCTATGGGGCAAGAGGGAGAGACTGCAATTAAATTACAGGAAAATCCTATGAAATAATTGGGAACTTTTTATAAAGCTATCGATATTTCCACCAGACTGAGGGAGGTACATGGCAGAAGTGAGCAGAGGTAGAGGGGAAGGTTGTGATTTTAATTAACCCCTACCGGTGACAGATCAGGACTAACAAGGGTTCAGGGGCAACACCCCAAAAGAAAATACAGCCTGGTCTCATTTTATGGCACCCTCCAGGAAACAGCAACAGTGAACTCCCATGTGGAGATTATTTCTTAAAGCAGAGCCCTGCAAGTCAGGCTTGAAGGAGACTGTTTCTCTTTGGGAGAGCTATGTCCTTTTGGGAACCCAAATGCAGATCCTCTTCCCCTGTGCCTTGGGAAAGAGAAATACACCCCAAATTCCACCTACAGTGCCACACGTGTTCATGGACCCCAGATTTATAATATCACCCTAACAAAATCGAAAAACTTTTCATTTTTATCTATTTTTATGTGTAGGAGCATTTTGCCTGCATGTGTTTAAGTGCAGCACATGTGTGCAAACCCACAGAGACCAGCAGAGGGCATCAGATCTCCTGGAACTGGAGTTACAGGTGGTTGTTAGCTGCCATTTGAGTGCTGAACCCAGGTCCTCTGCAAGAGGCTGAGCCGTCTCTCCAGCCCCTAAAAGACTTCTCTTAATGATGAAGTATTCCTTTTTACTGGCTGTTTCTTAGCTGCATTTCCCAGCTTTCTGCCATTGAGACCCCCTCATACCACTGACAGCTTTTCCAGATGTGAACGGAAACACGATAGCCTTTTGTCCTTCAGCCTCAGCAGGCCCAGCTCTGCCCAGTCTTCTCCTCTTCTCTTCGTTTCTTTTACTTTATTTTTAAACAGGGTCTCATGTAGCCCAGGCTAGTCTCAAACACACTATGTAACTGAGAATGACTTTGAACTTTTTTAGACATTTGTTTATTACAGGGCAGGGAGAGGGTGTGCATGCCTCTGCACATCTGGAGGTCAGAGGACACCTTGCAAGAGTCGGTCCTCTCCTACCACGTGCGTTCCCGGATTGCAGTCAGGTGGTCAGGACAAGCGGCAAGCATCTTTCCCTGCTGCGCTGTCTCGCTTGCCCTGACCTTGATCTTCTGATTCTCCTGCCTCCACCTCTTGAATACTAAGTGCCGAGGTCACAGGCATGCACCACTGTGTCCCATTTATACAGTGCTGGAGATGAAACGCAGGACTTCATGCAGGTTAGAAATTCACTCTACCAGGTGAGCCACATCCACGGCCCCTGGGATGGCACTGGGCCAGACTCAAGTCTCTTTGGACTTCAGTGTCTTCCTTCAGAAAAAGAAGAATGAGGAAGAGGGGCCAGAGTTTCCCCTGGGGCAGCAGTTGGGCATCTGTGACCCAAAGGAGATGCACAGAATAAGAGTTCTGTGGCCACAGTCAGCCAGAGAAACCTCACCCATCTGTACCCTTGGAGGCAGGCTCATCGTGGCAGCACAGTAAAGTCTCTGAGGGCTAGTGAGATGGCTCAGTGGGTATGTGCACGTGCTGCTAAGCCTGGAGACCTGAGTCCTATCCCAGGACCCATGTGGTGGAGGGAGAGAACCAACTCCCACAAGTTGTCCTCTGACCTGCACACAACTCTCTGGGCCCAGACCCAACAACGTTGGATCCCATCTGGAAACCTCACCTACCTTTTGCCAGTAAGAAGGGGGTCCACTTCCCTAATATCACCAACAACAAAAGCTGTTGCATGCACTGCGTATACACACACACACACACACACACACACATACACGTGCGTGCACACAAATAAATTAATGAAATTTAAAATTTAAAAATTTTAAAAGAAAACAGACATCTATTATATTCATCTTTAAACTTTATTTTAAAATTTCTTCTCTTGTGTTTATTTGTTTGTTGTTTTAAGACAGGGTCTTGCGATGCTGTCCTGGTCTAGTACTTGCTTTATAGCCCAGGCTGACCTCAAACTCCTGGCAATACGCAGCTAGAATGTCCTCAAGAGAGCATAGCACTAAGATAACCTCAGTTCAGAACTGATTCTGCGTAGCTGAGCATGTGCAGGATGTTGGCATATGAGCGTGACTTCCCTGGCACACAGACATTCATCCACTCAGCCTCCTCTGGAATGGGATTTGGGCTGTACCTGAGTCCTCTGCCCATGCCCCGGGGCCTAACTCTGCCCCCTCTCCCGTCTCTGGTCTCCAGGACTACAGAGTCAACATCTTCCTGCGGCAGCAATGGAACGACCCCCGCCTGGCCTACAACGAGTACCCCGACGACTCCCTGGACCTGGATCCATCCATGTTGGATTCCATCTGGAAACCTGACCTGTTCTTTGCCAACGAGAAGGGGGCCCACTTCCATGAGATCACCACCGACAACAAGCTGTTGCGGATCTCCCGGAATGGCAACGTTCTCTACAGCATCCGGTGAGTCCCAGAACTTGAACCAGGAGCCAGCACTCATCAAGGAGTAACAACACTGTGGGGTCTGTGCTTTATGGTGACCAAGGAGAGCTGGGAAGACATGCTAGGGGAGGCGGAGTTTAAGTCACCCTGTGTTTCAACAAAGAAAAACCAAACAGCCACCAGACATGGTGATCAAGGAACAAAGTCCGGATAGTAGCAGAAGCTTGGTGGTGATGGGGCCAGGACAGCGCTGCCCACAAGGATAGGTCAGGCTGTGTATCCCTCCTATGAACTCTTCTAATTCCATTCCACTCACCTTGCATTCTGCCTCGGAGGTGAGATGCCCTCCCTGTTGTGGCCTACCTTGCAGGCACTGGTTAGCCACTAAGCTTTCAGAGTATCCGGCCACCCTCCCCACCTCGTCGCTAATCTCCTTCCTCGGGATGTGGGGACAAATGGCCCATGGAGTTGGAGACATGAACTCACACATGCAGCAACAGCAGCCATGTTCTCAGAGAACTCACTAGATAATGTTTGTGTATTATACGGTAACATATTTTGTGAGCTAGGTTTGGTGATGCCCACTGCACATCAGAGGAAGGGGGGTGAGGAAATTTAAAGAACTTGCCAAGGCTGCCATGGTTCATGTCGGAAAATGGGTATTAGCATGGGTTCAATGTTCTCTCCAGTCCTAAAACGCACATGGCTTTCTATCTGCACTCCAGCACATGGCCACTGGATGGATAGGTTCTGATTTTAAAGAGCTTCAAAGGTGCCAGTCCTAAACGGCTGTCCTTCCCACCATCAGTTCCTTCCTTTTCATTTGGGGCAGGGGAGGGGGAGTTCTTATTCCCATTCAAAGGCTAGCCTTAAAGATCCAGGTCTGTGGCAGAGGCCGAGCTGATCCTGACCCTCAGAAGTGACTGGGCTCCCCACAGGACCAGGCTGTGGGCTGGGACATGGACCCCTCACCACTAAGGGCCCCCAGAATCTCCCATGGTGGATCTGCCCCACCAGTCACATCCCAGGAAGAGTGACAATGGGCCTGATGGGCTGCGGGGAGTGGGGTGGAGGTCACCCCCCCGGAGTCACTTCTGCCAGGGCAGTTTCGTGTCTCTGGGAAGCTGAGTTCCAGTGCAGCCTGCAGAGCAGCAGAAAGTGATGTTACCAACGGTCGTTCAACTTCCGGAAACTAACCCAGCCTGGCAGCTGCCCCACTTTGGAGCTTTTCCCTTCAGACACTGGCCACGGTCCTGTTGCCTTCACTCTTTCCCCTCCTCCTCTGCTCCCCTCCTCTCCCTCTTCCTTCCTTCCCCCCTCTACTTATACTTTGTTCTTAGAGGGGCGCATGCTCAGAACTGCAGTGTGAGCTGGCAAGGAATTCACAAAGGGCTAGGTGGTTGCCATGTAGAGCTTGGGGCCAGCAGCGAGGACCCATAGAGACATTTCCAACCAGGTACCTACCTCAGGGAGGTGGGACAGACTAGCGACAGCAGAGCTGGAAAGCTGAACAACCCACCAGGACTCGGGTTGCAAACACTAGCAGACTTGGCTTTTATTGGGGTCACCAACTGGCGGTGTGACCCTAGCTCGACCCCAGCCTAGCCCTCTCTGCACCTGTGTCCCAAACCTGTAGATGATGGTGCCTGATGATCTGAGAGCTCATTATAGCCTCCTTTGCAACAGAGCCTTTCAAGTTCCAGCTAGTATCCCAGCCTGAGCTACAAGCCTCAGATGCTGCGGAAAGCTCCCTCTGACTGGGCCTGCGGCCTTTACAGGACCTAAACACCCAAAAATAAATGGCTGGCCTAGAATCCTGGGAAGCCCACTGTTTTCCACTTGACCTTGCCTGTACCCACAGATGTGAGTCAGCTGTGTAGGAATGCCAGGCAGGCAGGGGGCCTCCCAACTCACCTCTGACAGGTTGTCAAGGGAGGCCACCAAGAGCCATGCACAGCACTTGCTGCTAAACCCTGGAGGTACTTGAGACTGGGGACTCAGCAGAAACCTGGGCTGTACCTGGAGAAGGGGAAAAGAGGGGTCGGGGCAACACCTGGAGCCCCAGAAACTTGATAAATGGTAGGTCTCCAGCAGCCAAGCAGATGCCAAAAAAACTCAGATGTTCCTCTGACTGGCCTCGGGCCTCCTGTTTCCCTCTCTGAGTCTCCACTTCCATCTCAGGAACTTGAAATAGGCACACGTTTATTCGACAAGCACTCATCCCCTGGTCTCTGGTCCCTATCCTGGACACCAAGTTCTTCTGGCACCCAGGTCCCTGGATGAGGACCCAGCATCACCCCTGTCTCTTCTTGTCCCAGAATCACCCTGACGTTGGCCTGCCCCATGGACCTGAAGAATTTCCCAATGGATGTCCAAACATGTATCATGCAACTGGAAAGCTGTGAGTCCCTTGCATGAGTGTCTTTAAAGAGCCAGCCTTCCGTTTACCCATTGGCCAGGCAGGAATTCCCTAATCATGAACCCCAGGAGAGTACCGTTGTAACACACGGTGCCAAGTAGAAACTTGGCTTTGAGAAAAATACACTAGAAACATAATTCCCTCTGTGCTGTCAGACTAGGGCACAGACTTTGGCATCTGCCGTATCCTCCCAGGAGGCACTGCGCCAAGTCCCGTGTGAATGAGCTTGTCAGGAGTGAGGCTAAATGGCCTGAGAAATTATGGTGTGTGAACCTTCCCTCACTCCAGCAGGGAATGTGGACAAGAGACTGCACAAGTCACTCTAGTTCAAAAGGGAACAAGTGGGGTGTGTTGTTAGGCACACAGTGCAGGAGCAGGACCAGACATGACAGCACACGCCTTCAGTCCCAGTCTGTGGAGGCAGAGGTAGGCAGGGCTCTATGAGTTCCAGGCCAGTTCTATGGTCTATATAGTGAGTTCCAGGTCAGCTGGGGCTTCATGATGAGACCCTGTCTAAAAAACAAAAGATAGAGAAACTGAGGAAGACACCCAACATCGACCTCTGGCCTCTACACATACACACATGTGTACATATCCACATGAATGTGTTCGTATAAATACAACATACACACACACACACACACACACACACACACACACATACACAAAATGTAGGAAATAACTAAGTGGTACACACAGGCAAAAAGATTGTGAGTCTGAAGCCAGCCTGAGCTACACGAGACCATATCTCAAAAATATAAAAAAGAGGCCAGGTATGGTGGTGCAAGTCTTTAATCCCAGCACTGGAGCCAGAGGCAGGTGGGTTTCTAGGAGATCAAAGCCAGCCTGGTCTACTTAGTGAGTTCCAGGCCCCCTGGGGCCACAGGGAGACCCTGTCTCACAAAATGGGGCAGAAATCTGATTGATTGTCTTGATTGGCCGCCAGTTCCCACCCACCCTTCTCAGCAAGTGGTAGACTCGCCCTCAGATTCAATGCTGGGAACAAAGGAAGAGGCTTGTGGGGACGGCATGCACGGGAACTGCCACCAACGCACCACCCCCCCATGTACACGAAGATGAGCTGGGCCTCGGGACAAGCCTGGGTGGGAAGACTGGGGAATGAATTTAAGCAATTCAGCCAATTCCACCTCTTCTAGAAGGGATGTGGGGAAGAAAAGGCAACAGGGTCTCCTGAGCCTGTTGAGTCTGGAGCCTGCCCAGCCTCCAGCCCTCACACAGATGAGACCCCCCTGGTGACCGCTCCGTCCTCGTTTCTTACGCAGTTGGATACACCATGAATGACCTCATCTTTGAGTGGCAGGAACAGGGAGCTGTGCAGGTGGCAGATGGATTGACCCTGCCCCAGTTCATCCTGAAGGAAGAGAAAGACCTAAGATACTGCACCAAGCACTACAACACAGGTAGGTACAAGCAGTCAGCATCCTCAGATCCTGGAGGCCTGCTGGACAATCCTTCAGCCATTGATCCACACAGCTCTGTGTGTATTTCCTAGTGGTTAATAGAAGAGGTTTGAAACCAAGAAAGCGGCTATGAAACATTCTACCCATGAGTCCTGGGGACGTTAGCTTAAGCTTAGGCTGCATCCGATTACAAGGGAGGCTGATGAGTATGATCTTTATTTCAGTTAGGGGTTCTATCGCCAAGGCAAGGGGTGAACCGACAGGTGGAGAATGGGTTCTGATACACAGCTCTCATTTCCAATGGCACAGAAGTAGAAGCGCTAACCTTGGACCTGAGCAAGAGGCGGGAGACAGTGGTTCTGATTCTTAACCAGTTGGAAGCTATCGTCCCGTCCCTGGCAGCCACAGAGGGGCAGGAAAATCACAGTCGCTTGGTCAGTTCTCTGTCCCCCACGACTTGCCCAGCCTTTGGTGAAGGAACTGGGATTAGAGCAAGGGGGCTTTGCCTGTCCATCCAGACGGGGGGAGCAAGCTCAAGGGAGCACTGTTGCAAGAGGGCCAGTGGGATGGCATGCCGGCTGGCGGGCTGGTAGGAAGCTGTCGTCTGAATCCAGCGGCGTAGAAGTGAGCCATGCAAGCTGTTAGGCTTGTGATGGCTACAGAGAGGAAGAAGTGGAGAAGAGAGACCAGGAGAGGCCACAGCAGGCAGACCCCAGAGAGAGGCAGGTAGCCTGGGCTCTGGGCTGTCTGGGACAGCTAGCTGTCCCTTTCTGGGTCACCTCATAGAAGTCTCAGAACATCCAAAGATGCTCTTCATCCTTGAGCAGGCTGAGTCAGGGAGAGAACTGTATTCCCAATAGCTGCCATGAATGACCATTGACCATGGACCCAAAAATCACAGCTGCTGCCCACAGACCTCGGCCCTTACAGCCGGCAGGATTCTCTTTATTCCACTTCCCGGAGGTGCAACTGACTGACAGAACACAATATTGTATATGTCAAAGATGTACAACTTGCTGTTGTGATATCTATTGTAAAATAATCACCACAATCAAGCTAATGAATACATTCATCAGTGTGCACACACATGTGTGTGTATGTGTGTGTGCGTGCATATGTGTGGGTACGGGTGCACGTTACCATACGTAAACATGTAGAGGATGTCAGCCCTCCTCCAGTCACTTTCTACTTTGTTTTGAGGGAGGGTCCTTCCCTGAACCTGAAGCTCACCGACGGGGCTAGCCTGCAGCTCCAGGCAGGTGCCCAATCACATGACCCCTCTCACCCGGCACTGAGGTACAGCTACGTGTCACTGCCACTGTGCCCAGTTTTTCTATGGGTTACGGAGATTCAAACTCAGGTCCTCGGGCCTTGAGCAGAAAGCACTTTACCCACAAGCCATCTCCTCAGCCCCAGTTTCCTTATTGTTGAGATTAATAGTCTCTTTTCTTTATCCGTCTACTGAAAACCATGCTTTGATTCAGTAATCCTCTTTTGAATATCTATCTAAAGAAAATGAAACGGGTTTTTCAGAGTCACACGGCTCTTCTGCGCTCATGGTGAGTTACAGTAGCCAAGAGGAGGAGACAGTCCAGTGGGCAGAAACTTTCCCGCTCATTACCTCCTTTGCTCCCCACCTTCACGTTCAGCTGAGAACTGAACCCCAAGCAGGGCCCTGTGGTGACAAGGAGAAAAGATAGACAGGCCCTGACCACATGGAGCTCTGGGAAGTCTCATAGTCACTAGCTTCAGTGGACAGGAACGGAGACGCTGCCTTGGGACTAGCAGGGCCCCATTTCCAGCGGTGCACAGATGAAAAGAGCCAAAGACACACAGGGAGAGACCGGCCCACTCGCCTGCGTCTTAGAGGCTCTGGAGATCACGTGAGCAGAGCTGAGACCCCGCAGGGAACGGGTGTTCTGTCCGCACTCACATAAGCTGTCCTGAAAGAAGAAAAAGCATTTCTGGGGGTGGGAGGGTCGTGGGAAGGAAGAGGAACTTTCCAACAGAGATTTTACCAGGGCCGAAAGCTCAGAAGTGTGAAGTCCCAGGCATGTTCTGGACGAGGTGGGGTGCAGGAATTAATGATCAGAGTGAGGAAGAGGGGGGAGGGAAGAGGACCTAGAAAGACAGCTCAGCTCTCAACTGTGAAGGATGGTCTGAAGAATTTGAACTGTCCCGTACAGAGTAGGAAAATGCTTCCAATAAGAAGAAAAGGACAAAAGGATTTTTAAGCAAATCGGAGTTCATTATGTCATTTTTTTAAGATTTATTTTTGGGGTGTGTGTGTGTATGTGTGTGTGTGTGAATGTATACACATTTGTGCCTATAAGGCCCAAAGAGGGCACTGGATCGCCTGAAACTGGAGTTACAGGTGGTTGTGAACTGCCCAATTTGGGTGCTGGGAATTGAATTTGGGTCCGCTACAAGAGCAGTATGTACTCTTAACCATTGAGCCACCGCTCCAGTCCCTATTAAGTCATTTTTAAGCACAAGGGGTAAGAGAAAGAGAGGTGCTCAGAAAGTAAGACACATCCAAAGGTGTGGGCGTGGGTGTGGGTTTGGGTGTGGGTGTGGGTGTGGGCTTCTCAAAGAAGAGTCGCCAGACAGAGGTTTTATAGGAGAGACAGAGTCAAATCACACTTGGGGAACATAGGACAGAAAGTTAGAAGAAACTCCACTTAGGCTCTCTCAGCAACAAAATAGTGATGATGGTGGTGATGATGATGATGAAGATCATAATGATGGTGATGATGGTGGTGATGATGGTGATGATGGAGGTTGGGGTGGTGATGGTGATGGTGACAGTGGTGATGATGGTGATGATGGAGGTTGGGGTGGTGATGGTGATGGTGACAGTGGTGATGATGGTGATGATGGAGGTTGGGGTGGTGATGGTGATGGTGACAGTGGTGATGATGGTGATGATGGAGGTTGGGGTGGTGATGGTGATGGTGACAGTGGTGATGATGGTGATGATGGAGGTTGGGGTGGTGATGGTGATGGTGACAGTGGTGATGATGGTGATGATGGAGGTTGGGGTGGTGATGGTGATGGTGACAGTGGTGATGATGGTGATGATGGAGGTTGGGGTGGTGATGGTGATGGTGACAGTGGTGATGATGGTGATGATGGAGGTTGGGGTGGTGATGGTGATGGTGACAGTGGTGATGATGGTGATGATGGAGGTTGGGGTGGTGATGGTGATGGTGACAGTGGTGATGATGGTGATGATGGTGATGATGGTGGTGGTGATAATGGTGATGGTGATGATGGTGGTGGTGGTGGTGATGATGGTGATGGTGATGATGATGATGATGATGGTGGTGGTGGTGGTGGTGATGATGGTGATGGTGGTGATAATGGTGATGGTGATGATGGTGGTGATGGTGATGGTGATGACGGCGATGGTGTTGGTGATGGTGATGATGATGGTTGCAGCAGCAAGTGACAATTCTGAGTATCCATGACATATAAAGACTATGATAAGTTCTGCATACCCTCACAATAACTGTAAGAGTAACCATATGAGGGTTGGAAAGGTGACTCAGCAGGTAAAGGCACTCACCACCAAGCCTGATGGCCTACGTGCGATCTTAGCAACCCACATGGTAGAAAGACAACTGATGAGCTGTCCTCTGACCTCCACATGTGTACCTTGGCACACACATACTTTCCACATACTCAAGCAAACAATAAATAAAATGTGATAATTATTTTAAAAGAGTGACCATATGAAGTGGATTTTTTATTGCTGTCCTTCCTTAGTATCCCCTCAGAATTGGCCCCAGGGCCTCCTCAGATCCAAGGATGATCAAGTTCTGTACATAAAGCAGGGCAGTGTGTGGTGTGCCCTGTGTGCACCCTTCTGTGTGCCTAGGTGACTGACAATACCTAACTCAGTATAAATGTTATGTAAATAGGTGCTCTGTATTGTCTGCGCTATGATGACAGGGACAAAGTCTGTATCGGTTCTGCAGAGATACTTTTTTCTGAGCATTTTCTGCTTGCATTTGCTTAAATCCATGGATGTAGAACCCATGGACAGAGTACCAGTTGTATTATCCCAGTTTATCCCAAATGAGGAAACTGAGGCACAGAGTGATTCAAACACAGACAGTATGAGGCTAGACCAAGATTCTAGCCAAGCTTGTCCTGACCCTAAAAATCACTGCTGTTACCCAGCATGCTCCACGGTCTCCTCACTGTCGTTCCTTGCAGGTAAATTCACCTGCATCGAGGCCCGGTTCCACCTGGAGCGCCAGATGGGCTACTACCTGATCCAGATGTACATACCCAGCCTGCTCATCGTCATCCTGTCCTGGATTTCCTTCTGGATCAATATGGATGCGGCACCAGCTCGTGTGGGTCTGGGCATCACCACCGTGCTCACCATGACCACACAGAGCTCTGGCTCGAGGGCGTCCCTGCCCAAGGTGAGCGGCAGTACAGAGAGTGCTGAGCCGCAGGGCCGACAAGCAGCCGTCAAGCCCCTCTGGCCTGCCTGAGACGGGGAACATACACAGTATGTCGCCATACGTGTGCATGCTGTGTGGGGTGGTGACTCCACAGTTGCTATTCAGACTGTCATATTCAAAGAAATGAAACGAGTACACGGATTGAAAACTAGCGAGGAAACTTTTTTCAGAAGCAAAGCAGTCGTGTAGGTCAGGGACCTGCCAAAGACAGCACAGGCCACCTGAGTGAAAGCGCACTCAAGGGCCGGGTTGTCAGTTCTCCATCGGTGCGTTTCTGTGCGGTATGGGGGAAGGAGGGGCTGCTGAAGGGTGTCACCTGAGTAGTTCTCTAGTTTGATTGACAGATTTGAGTTATATAGGCTTTTTTCCAGTTTTCTATTACATGCGTCCCTTTCCATGATGCATCTGAGTTTAGTCATATGCATGCCCACCTAGTTTGATTGACAGATTTGAGTTATATAGGTTTTTTTCCAGTTTTCTACTACATGCGTCCCTTTCCATGATGCATCTGAGTTTAGTCATATGCATGCCCAATTATGCATAGGTGTAAGGTGCCAAATAGGAGACTCTCCCTAAAAGTTCGTTCCGAGGATGAGGTTTGCCTTACTGCATGCACAACCACTTCAGACTGGATTAGCTAATTCCCATACCCAGCTAGATCCAGGAATATGTTTGAATAGAAACAAAAGGGGAATTCTCGATGATTGTTAGGGGAAGAGGAACTTATTCCACATTCCAGAGTGGGGCATATGTGCAGCCTGATGCAGGTGGGTCCTGGGTTACCAGGTGCATTGTTAGGAGGGAGAAGGGTGTGTTGCATAGTAAGTGCAGGTGGCCCTAGGTTACCAGATGCATTGTTAGTAGAGGGTTTTATGCATAGTCCAAGCCAGGTGGAGTCCCAGGCTGCTAAGCTCTCCGCCTGCTTGCCCACCTCACTGTTCTGGTTCATTGATCCTCCCACCAGACAACACAGTCTCTCCAGGCTGCCAGACACCCGTTCTGCTCCACTCTCTACCGGAGCTCAACATATTTTACTGCATGAAAAACACTTGGCAAAACCAGAACAAAAACCTTTAAAACTTGCTTTAAAAACTGCCGAGTGAGGTTGTGCGACATCGTAGCCCCAGATGTGAGGGGGGCTGAGGAAGGAAGACCCCTGACCCCAGTTAGTCAAGGTTATCTCAATAAATAATTTCTAAAATTTACTCATGACATTATTTTTAAAAAAGAATGAAGTTGGGCTGGAGAGATGGTTCAGCAGTTAAGAGCACTGACTGCTCTTGCAGAGGACCCAGGTTCGATTCCCAGCACCCACATGGCGGCTACAAACCGTCCTTAACTCCAGTTCCAGGGGAATCCGAAGCCCTTTTCTGACCTCCATTGCACACCACAGGTGCATTCACATACATGCAGGCAATACACTCATACACATAAAATAAAAATAATATTTTTAAAAACCACCATTCAAACACACAAAAAAAGAATGAAGTTGCCAAATATGGTGGCGCACACCTTTAATTCCAGCCTCCAGCAGAAGCAAATGAATCTCTGTGAGTTCAAGGCCAGCCTGGTCTACATAGTGAGTTCCAGGCCCGCTGGGGCTACACGGAGACTGTGTCTCAAAAAGACCAAAAAAAAAAAAAAAAAGAAGGGAGATGAATTCCCACCTCAAACAATATATGAAAAAATAAACGAAGTGCCTTGATTTTACAGAAATCCACCTGCCTCTGCCTCCCCAGTGCTAGCACTAAAGCACTAAAGGTGTGTGCCACCACATCCAGCTGCAGAATGTTGGGTATTAGATATAGATTTCTTGACAAAACTTGACCGTTTTTTCTTTCACTGCTTTGAAAATGCCACAAATGGACTTCCTCAAGTGCCGCGTCTTCAGGCTGTTTTTCTTTTCACTGGTGATGGGTTCCCATTTTTCTAAGGGTGTTTTCTTCGGTTGGTTGGTTAGTTCGTTTTTGGCTTGTTCAGTTTTACATGTCTTATAAAGTTTTTTGCTGAAAATGTACATTTTACATAATATAACATGGCAGTTTTAGGAATCAGATTCGGTCCCTCAGGATTTGGTGGTGGTGGTATTATGTGTTCGGTAACTTTCTGAACTTTGTAAACTCTGTATTCTCTGTCAGTCACAAAAGTCTAGGTTCCCAGAGCCTGGCGGCCGCCTCTAAACTAAACAAAGATTTGGTTTAAACACCCAGTAAACCTTGACAGCTTGCCTGAGAGAGTCCCTTAGGCACCTTCAGCCCCCAGTCAGGAGGGTCACAGCTTGACCTTCCCTGGCACACACAGATTAGCCCGAGTGTTCACCACAGTTTACCTTCCTGAGCTTTTTGTTTAACATTGCTGAGGCTTGAACCCAGGCCCTTGGGCATGCCAGGCAGGTGCTCCCCTGCTGAGCTACCACCCCAGGCTCCTCTTTAGTTTATTTATTATTATTATTATTATTATTATTATTATTATTATTATCTTGTTTTGGCTCTTGACAATTGCCACTAAATGTTTTCAACAAATAACCCCGAATTAGAAGAACACAAACTAAAACTGTTACCACTGGGTCCACTTCAAGTTGAGTCAAAGAAAGACAATCTGATGAACAAGTTCTGTAAGTGAACACTAAGTTTGATCAAAGCAGGAGGGCGGGGGCTGGGCACAGGGCTTTGAAACAGCCACACTCTGCCCTGGCCAGTGGTTCCAACAGCTGGATAGCACATGCCTTTCAAGCTGTTGACTTTCAAGGCTACAGTGGGTTGGAAGGTTAGGCTAGGGATAGGGCAGATGAACACACTCCAAATCCCCAGGAGAAATGGAAACCTGTTCATACAACCACTCCTTACACATCATTCAGCGCAGCACAATGCACTCCACCAAAAGGGGGAGGCAACTGCAGTATCTGTCAACTAATGAATGAAAGGACACCATGCTGTGTGTGCACAATGGAATATGATCTAGCCAAAAATAAACTATTGGGGCTGGAGAGGTGGCCATTAAGAGCATGTGCTGCTCTTGCAGAAGACTGGAGTTCAGCTCCCAGCACCCACACTGAGCAGCTCACAACAGCCTGTAACTCCAACTCTGGGGGATCTGATGCCCTCTTCTAGCCGAAGACACACACAAACACACACACACACACACACACACACACACACAATAAATAAGTAAAAATAATCATAACAAATAAATAAAATTAAAATGCTTCTACATGCAACAAGATGAACTTCAAACTCGTGAAACTCTGTGAGAACACCATATGTTTATTAATATTCCACCCATAGCAACATAAAGTAGATTAGCTGTGTCTGAGGACTGGGGCAGTAGAGATGTGATAAGTAAGAAATGCCAGCTTTCCTTTGAGCTAACGAAAGCCTCCTAAAATTGATTGTGAAGATGATTACACCTATCTGTGGGTATTACAAAAGTCATTGAACTATGCACCTGATGTGCAAACTTTAATTAAATATAGGTAACACTTTTAACAAAATTAGTGGCACACAAGTATAATCTGAGCATTTGAGAGGCAGAGGCAGGCAGATCTCTGTAAGTTCCAGGCCAGCTAGGGCTAGAGGGAGACCCTGTCTCCAAAAAAAATTTTAAACAAACCTTCATTAAATAATGCTGTAAAGCCTGTGTTCTTACTGAAATTCAGCTGGTTTTTTGTTATTACATATTTATTTTGTGTGTGTGTGTGTGTGTGTGTGTGTGTGTGGGTGTGGGTGTGGGTGTTGACGGGGTACACACATGCCATGGTGCACATGTGGAGGTTAGATGACAAATTGTGGGAATCAGCTCTCTGCTTCCGTTGTGTGGGTCCCAGGGATTGAACTCAGGTCATCAGGCTTAGTGGCAAGCACCTTTAGCCACTGAGCCATCTCTCGGGTCCCATCAACCACTTTTCTTGAATAAATCCTGACACGATTGCTATAGATCTCCAGTAATTAATCAGCAGAGTTCTGGAAAACGTGACTGTGGCCATTTTTGTGTGCTCACTAATTTTGTGAAGGGTTTTTGCAGGGCCTCACAGCACCATGTATGCTGGCATCCTCCCCTCCATTCACGTCTCATGCTCAGTCCAGCATTCTCTCACACTTAAACGTAATGCTCTGTTCCACTAAATGGTGATGGTGTAGGACACACTGTTCTCTTCTCCTCTCTCATATGCGTCTCATCAGCTGCGATGGTCTTCCCAGCCTGTTTCACGTGTTTCTCCTGTCTTCCTCTGCCCCTCCAACCCAAAGATCCCAGCCAAGGAGCTGACAGAAGTGGACGGTGGGAAAAGTTACTGGAGTACGGGAAATGCCCCCGTGCACACTCAGTACAATAGTCTCTCCATCTCCACAGGGAACATGTTCTAGTCACTCCCCCATCACCATGCCTAAAACCGTAGATGGCACCGAACTCTGTATGTCATCTTCTTGCCTAGACATTCCTTAATTTTGCAGACAGATGTGTTCTTGCTGGGGGCTGAAGAGATGGCTCAGCAGTTAGGAGCACATATTGCTCTTGAAGAAGACCTGAGTTTGGTTCCCGGCACCCACACCAAGTGGCTCATAAGCACTGTAACTGCAGCTCCAGGGGATCCAACAACCTCTTCTATCCCCGTAGTCACCTGTACCACGTGCACATACACACAATTACATACATAATTAAAAATAAAATAAATCTTTTTAAAATGTTCTTGCTGTAGATCTTAGCAACATCAGTCAGGATTATCTGCTTTCCATGTTAAACTGAGGACTTCGGCTTTTTACTTAAAGGAAGCTTTCTGCAGCTTCATACCCAAGCAGCCAGCATGACTGGTCTCACACTTTGAAGCCCGTATTAAGAAAGAGGAAGGTTTCCCGACCGCAACACTGAGACACCACATCTGTCAATCTAATCATGCAAGTGGCTACTAAGTGATGGGGGGAGGATAGTGTACAGAATGGATACACTTGGCAAAGGATTATTCCTGTTCTCGACAGGATGATGCAAGAGTTCGTCGCACTGTTCAGAACAATGCACAGCTTAAAACTCAACACATGGTTTATTTCTGGAATGCTCCATGCATCTTTCAGGACCATTATCTAGCTTTCTTCTCTTCTCACCTCCCTGTGCCCCCCACCTCCCACCCCACCCCCAGGTGTCCTATGTGAAAGCCATTGACATTTGGATGGCAGTTTGCCTGCTCTTCGTGTTCTCGGCCCTGTTGGAATATGCTGCGGTCAACTTTGTGTCTCGGCAGCACAAGGAGCTGCTGCGATTTAGAAGGAAGCGGCGACACCACAAGGTAGGCCTTCGGTGCAGCCAGGAACGGCCAAGACACGGCAGAGTTCAGTGCTGTCCTGGGATCCTGGCTTCACTGGACTGTCCTGGTGGGTAAGGTGGGCGAGAAACTGCGATTTGAGTCCTGGAACACTTAGCTTTTCTCCCTATGACTAACCTAGTTGTATCCACAGGGAGTTGTACCTAAAACCACAAAGAGCAATGTACAAACAGTATGAGGTTACATGGGCCAGTGGTCGGAATAACAAAACCAACTTCATGTTGCAAGCATGACAGGTGGGGACAGGTTTGCTGGTGTTTTCTGCGAGGCCCTTTTGTGTGTGGGTGACTTCAAGCTAGTCAATCTGCCAGCTCCACTTCTCCAGCTGAAAAGAACCAGCTTGATGATCTCAAGACTGCGGCAAGGATTAAGTCAGGGGAGGCCATGGAAGCTTTAAATTCTGTCCTAGCCATGCCAACGCCAAGGACTAAAACAATTACACACACACACACACACACACACACACACACACACACACAACAGTATGTTCCCAGTATGTTCCACAGATTCCTAACAGTATGTTCCTTAAACACCAGTGACATGATTCAATTAACTCTTGGCAGTCTACCATAGGGAGGAGGCAACCTCCCAAGAGAGGAAGATGCCCCTGGGACAGTACGGTCCCTCTAAATCTGCACTGGAAAAGAAAATGGTTGAGTGCAGCAAGCTAGTCAGAACTTCTTAGAGGATATCTAGTTTTAGCCCTTCCTTACTGCCCTTTGACCATTTAGCCCTGCTAAGTAATAATAATCCTCCAAGCATGATTTCACATGCCTGTAATCCCAGCACTCAGGAGGCAGACACAGGTGGATCAAGAGTTCAAGGTTAACCTTGTCTAAATATTGAGTTCAAGGCCAGCCTGGGCTACATGAGACCCCATCTCAGGAAAACAAAATAATAAAAATAATCATCATGATCACCATCTAAGCGAGAGACTCTGGGCTTTATTTTTACCTCCCTTCCCTTCCCACATAGGTCAGGTGCCTTTTGCATTTCCCTCTGCTAAAGACATTAGTTGGAAATACTTACTTGAAAACACTAGATCTTAAATGAGTGACCAGAACCAGCCCCTTGTACTGTCCTAGTCCAGGCGAGCTGGGAGGCCCCTGTAGATGGCATTGTGGTGATCTGGGGTGCTACCAGAGGCTGCCTACCCATTCCCCAAATTACTGTACTATAGGAAAGCACATGTTCTCCCTCTGGCCAGGTTAGATGAGAACAAGGCCAGTCTCCAGGAAGGATCCATCCACCTGGTCAGTTCCCTCCAGAAGCCATCTCAGATACCACCTCATCCACTCCTCCTGGCAGCTCAGGAGGGTGACCACAGCGAGCCACCAGGCTCCTGAAGGGCCAATGGGAAAAAGGGGAAGTGCTCACAGACCCACGGCTCTCTCCAAACATGGCGCATAACCCACAGGTGTGACCATGCCTGTTCGTTAGTGTTTGCAGCCTAAAGCAGATAAGAATGGCCCTGCACCCATTAGACCACAAACTAAGACTTATGCCAAGATGGAAGTCAAAAGTTGGCAGCCGAGGCCAGGTCTGCCATGCAAATATCTTAAATAAAGCCAGCTAGTGCCAGAAGTTTGTCATCCCTCTAAGCTGAGACAGATGGATCATGGGCTAGAGACCAGACCCGGCAACATAGTGAGTTCAAGATCAGCCTGGGCTACCTCATGAAACCCTGTCTTAAAAAAAAAAAAAAAAAAAAAAGGCCAGGCCTGGTGGCACACAACTTTAATCCCAGCACTCAGGAGGCAGAGGCAGGTGGACCTCTGTGAGTTTGAGGCCGGCCTGGTCTACATAATGAGTTCCAGGCCAGCTGGTACTACTGGGAAACCCTGTCTCAAAAAAGACCAAAATAAAATAAAATAACAAAAATAAATAAATAAACCAGCTGAGCATGGTGGTACAGACCTTTAATGCCAGCACTCGGATAGGTGGAGCTCTGTGAGTTCAAGGCCAGCCTGGTCTACATAGCAAGTTCTAGGTCAGTTAGGGCTACAGGGAGACCCTGTCTCAAAAAGACCAGAAAGAAAAAAAAAAAGAAAAAAGAATGTACCTCTGTTGGTACAGTGCTTACTTAGCATGCATGAAACCTTTATCCCCAGCACTGCATAAATCCAAGCATGTTGGCATGTCTGTAATCTTAGCACTTGGAAGTATACGCAGGAAGATTAGAAGTTCAAGGTCATCTTCTACTGTATTGAGTTTAAAGAGAGCCTGGGCTACCTGAGACCCTATCTCAAAAAAATAGAATAAAACTGGGCCTGGGGACTTCCATTTGTGACCCCAGCATTCAGGAGGCTAGACATGAGGGTCAAAGGTTCAAGGCCAGGCAAGATTTACTGACAAAGAAGGCTCCGTGTAGGTAGCCATGAAGGGGAAGCCATCATCCATGATGGGTGAAGACTTTCCAGGGCAGCTGCTTTGGGTCCCCCAGGCTCCTGTAAGTAGCCCCACACCCATGCTCTGAAAGTGACACCGATAAACTCATCGGTTGACAGCACGCGGGGTGGGGGTGGGGTTAAGACTACCAAGAAAAGAGAGAGAGACAGAGACAGAGAAAGAGAGGGAGGGAGGGAGGGAGGGAGGGAACTTCGGGCTTCCCTGGAAACGGAGCCTCCAGCCGCACAGAGCTCTGAGCCCCTGTTCCCATCTGCACCCCCACAAGGGAGCCTCCTTTCTCAACAATGCAGCTCACCACCGTCTCATCTCGCCTACAGCTCACTTCGTCACTCACCTTTCTCCTCTCAGGCCTCCTGTGCACAGTTGGATCTATGTGAGCTTACTCATAAGGACTGTGCACTTGGCCCGGGTCAGAAGCCACAGGGCTGCAGACTGCGCTCTCCCGGACGCCCTTCCATTGCCCCTGAGCGTGGCTTGCTCCGGGGCTGTGCAAACTTGGGCGCCAGAAACCTCCCTGACCAAGAAGTCTGCCAGTGGGATTTTAGGCCCGGGTCTCCAGCAGCCTGGGATCTTGGACCCACACTTTCACCGTGTTACCTTATTTGTTGGGAAGAAAGCATATGATCTTCAAAGTCCCTGACCAACCTCATTAGAAGGATTAGGAAACCTCTGTGGGTCCCAGACACCCCAGTGGCTTCCCAGAGTCTTTCCACTTCCATCCAAGTTCCCTGCTCCATCTCTATGCAGCTGGGGACGGATAGGTATGCGTGTCCTGCCACCTGCTGGTTGTAATGGAAATAGCAGGCCTTTTCCAGTAGGTCTAAGGAACTACTACAGACCTAGCTAGATCTGATATCTTTATAGCAGATAAAGAAGGCAGAGCATAACTCTCCCCAAACTACAAGGGAAGCTAATGTAGTGTTTTCCTCTTAAAAATAGATCCCATTCTATACCAGTGAGGATCCGCGACCTGGTGATGCGTTTTCATCTATAAATACTTTATGTACATGAGACGCTGCTAATTGTTGCAGTGTTCAGTCCTAATGTTTTGTTTTCGGAAACAGGGTCTTATGCAGCCCGGGCTGGCCTTGAACTCCTGACCCTCCTGCCTCAGACTCCCAGGTACTGTGATTATGGGCATGAGCTGCCCTGCCTGGCTTATTCCTTTAGTTAGATTAAATTTACGTGTATGCGTGTGTATGTGCATGCGTGTATGTGTTCATGAGTGTACACACACCACAGCAGGATGTGAAGGTCAGAGAACAACTTTCAGGAGATAATTCTGTACTTCTGACATGGGCTCTTGGGGATTGAACTCAGGTCGTCAGGCTTAGCGCCACCACACCACCTCGTGCTTGGCTTATTCTTAAAGAATTCAGTTTTCTAGACCTTGGTTCCGAGTTAGATCTGGGGAGGTTCAGAGACCATTCATATTTATGTATCCCACATAACCATGCTGTTCAGCACTGGTGATTGTATTATGCAATGCAACACCCATGTGCAGAGGGGCCGCAAGCAGCCATTTTTATTTTCTAGCAACTCAACACAGTAAGGGCAAGTTTATGCTTAGATGTCACAGAGCCCTAGGTCCCCGGCCAGGCACAGGGCTCAGGGATGTGCCGACTTCCCCGACTCCTCGGACGCAACCCCGTTTAGACGAGTCAAAGGAATACAAAGAGCAATTTTTTAATATTTTACCTATTTTTTATTTATGTGTATGAGTGTATTGCCTGTATGTATGTGTGTATGTGCACCTGTGTTGTGCAATGCCCTCGGAGGTCAGAAGAGGGCATCAGATCCCCTGGAACTGGAGTTACAGATGCTCGCTAACTGCCATGTGAATGCTAGGACCTGAACCCAGATCCTCTGCAAGAGCAGCCAGTGCTCTTAACTGCTGAGCCATCTCTCCAGTGCCCCAAAGAGTAATTTTTTAAAGAGGCTAGGGTTGGTAAAGAGCTACAAATGAACATGAGTTGAAGAAATAAATTTATTAGGTTTTGAGCTTCTGTACCAGAGACTGTTCCACATGCTCAGTGTAGTTTCATTTTGGGTTTTGGTGGGTTAGTGAGTTGGTTGCTTGGTTTGGAGGACAGTCTCACATACATCAAGCTGGCCTCGAACTCGCTATATAGCCAAATCTGACCTTGAACTCCTGATCCTCCTCACAAGTGCTGGGATGACAGGCTTTCACCACCATGCCCAGTGTTGAGAATGCAGTGAACAAGGCAGGATTTTCCTCTGTTTTGATACTGTTTATGGTCTAAAGAGAGGGGTGGCATTAATCAAGGAATTACGACACAGTGAGATCGGAGCATACAAGGACACTGAGCCCATCCTTGGAAGAGCAGGGCAGGTGGACACAGGGGAGATAGGGCGCAGGCAGAGAGAACACTTTAGAGGACCAGAGAGGAAAAGCTTAGGAATCCTTTCAAAGTGCCTGGAACACAGATTGCCATACAGACAACAGGCCTTTAATAAGGATGTAATTATCTCCAAGTCAATGGCAGCCTAAATTCTAAGCAGAGCCAGGCTTGGCAGCACACAGCTATATAATCCCAGCATTTGGGATACTGAGGCAGGAAGATGGAGACTTCCAGGCCTGACTGGACTATGAAACCAGAACTCGTCTCAAACAAAAACAAACAAACAAGCAAACAAAAAAAAGCCCTAAGCAAAGCTAACCAGTAAGATCTGTTTTATGGAGCTGGAGAGACAGCTCAGCGGTTAAGAGCACTGGCTGCTCTTGCAGAGTTCGGTTCTCGGCACCCACAAGGCAGCTAATGACCTTAAGTCCAGTTCCAGGGGATCTGATGCCCTCTTCTGACCTCTATGGACATTGCGCACATGGGTGCACTTACATACATGCAGACAAAACATTCATACATATAAAACTCAAAATCTTTAAAAAAAAAAAAAGATCTGTTTCAGCTGGAGGAGGGAGGCAGGCAGCTGTGGGGGGCAGCAAGACCTGGGGGGGTCACAAGTCCAGGTGGTGTCCAGTCCTCAGGTGGCCGAGGCAGTGGAAGAGCAGATCCTGAACGAGATTTCTTATTCTTGTTGATGGGAGTAAGCAAAGCACAGAGCTTCTCTCCTACAATCTCTGCGTGTCTAAGAGGACAGTGTGAGCTGATGAAACCTCCCAGGGCCACACACTGAATCAGCAGCTCAGCTGCCTCAAAGCACTGGGGAGATGGATCAGTGAATGGAGAGCTTGCCAGGCAAACCTGAGGACTGGACTTTGGACCCCCAGCACCCATGTAAACTCAGGGTGGATGTGATGGCCTGTTTGTAATCCTAGCTCACAAGAGGCAGATGGAATTCCCAGGGCAAGCTGGTGAGGTTCACTGAATCTGCATGCTCTGGACTCAATGGAGAGATTCTGCCTTGAAGAACAAGTTGGAGAGCCATTGGGGAAGACTCCCAATGTCAGCCACTGGCCTCCACATGCAGATTTGCATGCGCACACAGGTGTGCCCACACAGGTGTGCCCACACATAGGAGCACACATACATGCAGACACACCACAGAAGTACATGCAAAAGAAAAAAACCCACTGGACTTTCAGTCCCAGTGTGGAGCTGCAGATCAGGCCCACTAGGGATGAACCACTAGGACCAGGCCAGGCATTTTACACAAAGTCTAACAGAGCTCTGGGGGTACAGAGAACACACGGGTCTGGAAAGGTGAGTCAAAGCCAAACAATGAAGGGCCGCTGTCAAAGCTGTGGTCTCCATGGGCTGTGACACAGGAAGCCAGGAGCTCTCTGCAACCTCCTGGGCCAATCTAGGGGTGGGAAAGAGGGGAGGGAGGCAACAGAGGCAAAGCAGGGGGTGTCTCCAAACCCAGCCTCCAATCACTAACCAAAACCCAGGACAGCCTGAGGAATTTACTCAGAACTTCCAAGGTCTAAGAGCCTGGAGAAGGAAACTTCTGGAAAGCAGTGACCTATCTAAGGTCACAAGTCAGCAAATGACAAAGGCCAAGAACCTAGCACAGGACCCGGGCCTCAGAATCTGCATCCTTTCCCATCCCCTGGTTTGCATCTGTTTCAGCATGTGGCGCCCCTCTATAAGGCCAAACTCCCCAGTCAGCCAGACTGCCTCCAGCAACTGGGACAACAGCCTGAGAGGCAGGGAGGACCAGATGGCATGGCCTGGCCTCCTAGGGGAGTGCCTTGCAGGGAGGGTGCCCAGCCCCTGTCTTATTTTAAGTAGAGCCCCATGCTGAATCTGTTTCAGGAGGACGAACCTGGAGAAGGCCGCTTCAACTTCTCTGCCTACGGCATGGGCCCAGCCTGCCTGCAGGCCAAGGATGGCATCTCAGTCAAGGGCGCCAACAACAACAACACTACCAACCCTCCCCCGGCGCCATCCAAGTCCCCAGAGGAGATGCGGAAACTCTTCATCCAGAGAGCCAAGAAGATCGATAAGATCTCACGCATCGGCTTCCCCATGGCTTTCCTCATCTTCAACATGTTCTACTGGATTATCTACAAGATCGTCCGCAGGGAGGATGTCCACAACCAGTGAAGGCGGGGGCGGGGTGGGGCGGGGCGGGGAGAGAGAGGGGAAGAAGGCTGAGAACCCGGGAGGAGCCAGGGGAGGAGGGAGACAGACCAGGGCGCGCACGCGGCTCTCCCATCACAGTGCTGGAACGTGGCAATATCCATTTAACCTCCAGAAGGGCGCGGGGGTGGGAGGGACTTTTCTACTGTTGCTACTGAGGACCAGGAGGCAGGGGTGGGGTGAGGGTGGGGGTGGGGAGCCAGGAATAACAGCTTTCAAAATCCAAGTCCAGTGGGCTGCGCGGGGTTGGTTTTTTCTTGTTTTTCTCCTGTTTAGAAGCCAGCGCTGCCTGCCCCAGAGCTCGAGGAGGGCAATATAATATAGGATTATATATTAACGCTTAACATTAATGCAAAAACCACAAGAACAAAAAATGCGTTTCTCAAATCAGCCTAGAAAATGCTTAAACTTTTAAAGTCCCCAAAATGATGGGCAATTTTTCCCGAGTGGAAACTGTCACAAATAAGCCTGCTCTGCTGCGCCACCCCCCCACCCCATCATGCCGTTCCAAACGCCGCATCTATCTTCAAACCAGCCCAGTGAACACATGCTAAGAGCCATCCCGCCTCTGCTTGGACGGTCTCCTGACACAGGCGTTGGTGGTGGGGGCTGGGAAAGGTGGACGGGAGCGGGACGTGACCGAGGACCCTGCGGACGCCCGGGCGTGGAGCATCCCGAGGCCCGGATGGGCAGCGCTTCTTCTGAGCTTCTGCTTCTTGCTTCAGCGCCGGCCCCACTCGCCACCAGCCCTACCCAGAAGCGACAACAGTCCTCTCATTATATTGCCATTATGCAATATTTTTATGGTTAAAAAAAAGAATACAATAATCTCAAGAAATAATACGCCGAGAGAGCGTAAAAACATTTTTCCAAATGTCTTTTTTTTTTTTTTTTGAGTCTCTTTGGAACTGCAAGTGTGTGTGTTGGGGAAGGCGGAGCCGGCAGGCAGAAACAGGTGTGTGATCACCTGGTGGTTCCTCAGAGTTTGAAGATGGGGAGAACTCATAGTGTCATTTGACAAACCAGGGTAGGGAGACAGCAATATTTAGGAGGTCCGCCCACGACATTTTGACATTTTATGTATCATATGCGAAGTTTGGGGGGATTGCCCCATTATATTTTTATAAGTTTTTTTTAAGGTGCTTTGTTCAGCTTTAACATGTGGGAAAGTCAGACAAATATTTTTCTTTCTAACCCTGAAGTGCCAGTGCGTTCCCAAGCCAACCAGGGCACTCCAGGGAAGAAGGCCAGGAACTGGGGGAGAACTGAGTCGGGGGAGGGGGTCCGGCTGAAGGACCTGGGTAGCACAAAGTGAGGACTGGTGGGTGGAGTTCAGGTGTCCACCAGCCGCCGCACAGCACTAAGTCTGAGTGAAGCCCGTGTCCACTGAGTTCCCTCCGGTGGTGGGTGGCTAGAATGTGGGAAAAGCATTTCTTTCTTTGCACTTTACTGTCTTGAACTCAGAACAGAGTTGTAGGATTGCTGACAATCAGTCTGAGGCTTCACCTGTGTCCTTCAAGCACGGCCAGCTCTGGGGCAGGATGGAGGACTGTGAAGAGATGAGTTCAGAAGCCTGCCTGCTCCCCAGTGCACAACCCGCCCCCCTTCCCTGTGGCACAGAAGTTAGTGCCTAAATGGGCATAAAACAGAAAGCTGAGACAAAGACCAAGGGATTCAGGTAAAGAAAATGCACTATGCAGCTGAAATCAGAACGAGGCTCTGAGGTGTTCACACCCAGTTCCAAGGCCAATCACCCCTTGCCTTCCTTCCCTTCTCTTGGACTGAAAGGAATCTTCAGCAATGGGAGCCCCATGGGTGGGCGACTCATCTGAGACTGCCACAGACATGTCCAAAATGGGAAAAGTAAAGAACAGTCACAGTCCTGGATGGACCCAGTGTGTGCTGCTATGAGCATCTTTCCCCAACACAGCATTCACTCAAAGGAGGGAAGAAGCCTCGACTCTCTGGTGCCGAGTCTCTTTAGAGGCCACAACCAGTCCTTACACTAGCACTTTATTCTCTTTAGGTAACAATTACTTTTAATAAAAGTAATCAGTGAAACCCTCTCCGTACTGTACTCAGAATGTCTCAAGACTAGGTAGTTCGGGCGACCAAGGAAGACTCCAGGCCACCACAGTGCAGACAAACCACTCACCCAGACAAGCCCATCTCGCACTTTCCACACTGGCCTTCGCAGCAGCATCTAGAATCACCAGCCATCTACCCAACTCTGGCTGGACCCCTGGGCTTCTGTCCCATGCCGCCATATTGGAATGTGGGCCCACGGCAAGCTGTCCCGCCCAGGTGACGATGTCCAACAAGCAGTGGGCTCGAATCTTTGAGACACGGGGAGGAATATGTCAACTATTTTAAGTTTAGCATCATGCCTGCCCGTCTGCCCTGGAGCAGGAGAAAAGCGATGCAGTGTAGAACGTAAGCGGAGACGTTGTAACCAAGGCAGAGAGCCGGAGCCGAGCCCTGTGGTCAGGGCCCAGAGTGCCTTGGGTAACGTCCAGGCTTTGGCTTCTGAATGCACCATGGGGGGAGTGGGACGGTATCTAACCTATCCCCTAGCTCTACCTGCTGTGCTTAAGCTAGCATGTAAGAAGTTCCAACAACTGAAACTAATGTGTGAAAAGTTCCTACAACCAAAAGCCGCGCCACTGGCTTCACGGGGCTTCGCGGATGTGTGGGCGTCCGCCGTCGATCCAGGACCCCTGTTGCTTTTCCTCCAGGAAATTTGACATTTTACTTTTCCTTTTGTGCTGTTTTGTCAATGGTGAACACTGTGAGGAACAGACACTAATCAAAAAGAAAAAAAGTTTAACAGAAAGAATGAGAGGAAGGAAGGAAGGAAGGAACAAGGAAGGAAGGAAGGAAGGAAGGAACAAGGAACGAAGGAAGGAAGGAAGGAAATTCAAACTTAGATAATTTAGGCCAAAAAAAGCCTTTTAAGTGACCCCCCCCTTCAATAAGTAGGGTGATGCTTTCTTAATTCCTCCTTTGGTCCACAAGGAACGAAGGAAGGAAGGAAGGAAATTCAAACTAGATAATTTAGGCCAAAAAAAAGCCTTTTAAGTGACCCCCCCCCTTCAATAAGTAGGGTGATGCTTTCTTAATTCCTCCTTTGGTCCGAACATGAAGGACCCTGGGCCCTGGGATTACAGGTATAAAGTGGTTCTGTGTATGGAAATCTGATGTAGATACAGAGAATGGTTACCGGTTTTCAAGCCCTTCACTGATGCAGAGTGACACTTATGCATTCACAGTGACAGACTACAGGGGCACAGGTGTGGTGACCTCACCCCACCTCCAAAACTGCAGGTAATCCCAGGAGTCCAGCAGAGTACAACGTCCCACCCTATTCGTTTACAATGGATCCCATTTGTTTCCAAGGCAGCAAAAATGAATGGCTCCATTCTGTCCCCTGCTGGAACTTCCCAACACCCACAAGTCCCTTCTTGGCTGAGGATCTAGGAGGAAATGAATTGGGGCAGACTTCAACAGAAAAAATGTCTGTCTGTCTGTCTGTGTGTGCATGTGAAATGTCTCTATTTTTGAATTGAGTCTAGAAAAAAAAGAGGAAAGTTGATCATTTCACCTAAATTATTTCCTTTTCTAAGCTGTCAGTAAATAGGAAATTACCCCTCTGGAAACGCACAGGATTTTTCACAGCCTTTTCCCCTCCCTATTTGGGAGACAAACAGGAGTTGCTTCCTTTCCTTCAGCGCGTGCATCTTTATGAACATCATGAAAACAGCTGGCATCGTCGAGGCCCCATGAGGTCAGACGACAGAGCAGGCTGGTGCTGCACCCAAACTGGTACAACCACTGATACTTGTCTTCTGTGTAAATTGGATTCCTTACTTAATGGCAACACGTTGACACTGAAGGGAGTCATTGCTCATTGGCAGCCAGTGCCTCCTGGGAGGAACGAGCAGGTAGAGCTCCCCGTTCAGGGCCTGCCTGGTCCAGGATCTGAGACCGGAAGCTCTTCCCAGCCACAAGCACAGAGTGAAAGCTCAGTTTCCATCCCAGGAGCATTGTCGGCACTTTCCACCCACCCTCCACCCTTAACTCCTACCCGGCAGGTGACACTGAGTTTTCTCAGCCTTTTTCTTGAATTGCTGGGTGGCTGATCAGGTCTGTGACTAAGTGAACTGACCTCTACTCACTGAGTCCTCCAGACCAAAATGTCTCCACCCAGGCAAGCAGGAAACACGTCCTTTAACTAGAATATGGATTCTATTCATCCACTAAACCCTTTTCCTTAGAAACCAACTTCATAAATCTTAATCTAGAACCTTCTTATTTTCCTTTCCTTCTATGGAACCAGAATCAAGAGCTTACGATGACAGACGAGTAAAGAAATGTGTCTTCTTCCTCTAGTGGAACAGCACTGAGGACTGCCTCCACCAGCGTGAGGGGAATCACATGCGTCGCACTACTAATGGCAGAGAGAGCTTCTTTGTGTAGGTCTCAAACCCTGTTGAGTAAGAACTTTCAGTTGGTAGAGTGCTCGCCTGGTATAAGGTTGAAGGGGATTGGCATTTTCCTTTCAGAGCCTGTACGTGGCCGATGTTAGGGGTGGCCAGTCAGAGGCAATAGACACACATCTCTTGTAGTCAGACACTACTGGGAAAGGGGTGGGTGGGGGCGGGCAAGGATGGAGAAACACAAGTCACTTTAGTTCTGGAAACCAAATTACTTTAGTCATTGTTTAACCAAAATGGAGAAGCTTTACAAAATGGCATGGCCCTGGCTAACACTTAGCATGACAGGCTCTGGATTCCATGCCCAGCACCACATAGACTGGGCACCGTGGTACAGTGGCACATGCCTGTAATCCCAGCACTCAGGAGGTGAAGGCAGGAAGATCTGAAGTTCAAGGTTATCTCCAGCTACGTAGGAATTCAAGGTCAGCCTGGGCTACATGTCTTGCTATGTAGGAATTCAAGGCCAGCCTGGGCTATATGTCTTGACAAAAAAGAATTTTCTGGAAGTCCTAAAATGAGGCCCCACCCCAGGCCCATGTTGGGAGAATGAAAG